TGCGAGACACCGCCCCAGTGATATGGATTACTGGAGTAAGGTGGTATCCCGCCGGCGCCAGTTCGCACAGGCGCTAAAGGAGGTGCAGCGCCGTCAGCGCCAGGCCCTTGAGAGCCCGGTCGGTGACGCACCTGTTGGCCTCTACCAGCCTCCGACCGTCGGAGCCAGACCAGCGGCTCCGCGGACCAGGTCGGAGGCCACGATGCATCGGGGCATGCAGAAGTGCGGGGTAAGCCTCGTGGTTAACGTAGACGGCAGCAACGGAGGTCAAGCAACGGGACCTATCCACATAAATCTTGTGGTGGGGTCCACGGGTGAGGACCCCACGGTCGAAAGTCCGTTGTGATCAGCCCAGAACCGGCGGGACGGGTTGCCACTGACCCCCAGAGAGCGAGGCCTCCCGCGTGGCACCCTCTCCCGCGCCCAGTAGGATAGGTGCAACGTGTGCCACTATCCCGGGGTGACCCGCACGGATCGCCCGTTGGACGAAGAAGGCCGGGAAGAACCGACGAAACCAGCCAGGTGAACGATCCCTGCCCCCGTGGGCAGGGCCACACGCACACCTGCACTAAATAAAAACTCGAAGTATCACAGAGAATATGACCTTTTATTATCCTTTCCCCTCCTCACCTCAAAAGGAACAACGCTAATAATGTTATCGTCGAGGACACCCTAGGTCCAGACTGGAAGGGGACTGTGAGGGTAAACGTCGTATTAGCACTAACAGCCCAACCATGCGGCTGCCGGCGAGGGCAGCACCTGCCGGTTGAGGCGAAATGTATTGAGGGGATTCGGCACGAGACGTAACGGAACGCGCGCGTATGAAAACGAACCAGTCGAGGATTAGTTATCGATACCTCCAGCTGCTATTAAGAAGGACCAGAGTTTTCCCCGAGTTTTCCGGAGTGCAGAGACAAAAGAAAGAAACTGTGACATAGCCTTACGTCCGGAAAGTATGCGTGCAAGTGTGCGTGCAAGTGTGCGTGACTGGAGAGTTTCGCCATCGAGGGAGAAACCGTGAACGAGAGGTATCGTCGCCCGTATATAAACATTTGCCGAAAGACTAGCGTGTGCCGTACGAGCCTCCTTCATCTCACTTGTTACCCGTGCGAGAGTTAATAAGGTAAGCTGGCCAGCTTAATGTCGTGATCGCGATAGAATTGTCTATAACTAATCTCTCGTACTCGACAAGAAAGGCGCATGAAAATAACTCTGCGAACAATGAGCGGCGAGCGATCCGACACTGCATGCTGTTGTCGTGCGCGCGATATGTAAACATAAACATGCGGGCCGAATACAGTGTAGCATTAAGAGGCAATAAACGTTCTCGCTTGTGATATTAACAATATTTCCGACGTATTTATTTCATGCTAGTAGATAGTTAGTTGACTGACACCCGTTCCCTCCTGCTCTCCGGTTTTCGTGTTTGAACGTTCAGATAATCACGCGCGCTCTTCGATACGATCGCGCGCTTAAATTAAATAAACGGTATTAACCCCGTTACACAACATATTAATTTTCATGAATAAGGGTGGCTTTACCCTCTACAAATATATTTATTAAAAAAGTAGAAAAATATAAACTTTATTTTTTTATTTTCTTTATAAACATAGAAATTCGGTTATAATTACATTATTTTTAAAGTTTTTACTGCAGAAAATGGTGTCAATTTTTCAATTTTTCGCTTATTAAAAATAGGAGTTGGAACTCCCACGAGCCAAATATACTGGTGCTGGTCTGGTAGCTCATTGAGGCACACACTAATCTGAGGCCCCTGATCTGTGGTCTTTCTAGATTACCTACTATTAAAATCTAAAATAAACTAATTAAATAAAAAAATGATCAAAAATTGAATTAACTAGAGATTAAATTAAAAAAAATACTAAGAAAGAGATTTAAAGTGGTTTCATATGGAGTTTTTTCCAATCCAGATAAATGTCCTCATTTTAGTAGAGGAAGCATGATAGTCGGATTACAGCACTAATTATAATAGTAATAAATTGAGTCATTTTGTTTTAAGAGGTAGTTTTTTAAGTAATTTTCCACGTATGCTATCTTTTCCCGAGCTCTTTTTGTTTTCAAGATTTGCTATTATATGGTTAATTTATTTACGTTTACATTATTAATTGACTATATAATTATTCTAGTTAGTTATTTTGGTATTATTAAGCATGCTTTATTCTATTTATATCGTCATACTACACGATGAGAATTTAAATAACTTTTTTATGTAAATATAGCAAAGAAAATAGCTTTTTCTATGTCTGTTCCAGCCCGTGTCATGTCGTTTGTTAGTATGGGAGGAAAAAATCTTTGATGACAATTAATTCTTTTTGTTGCTTTCCAGAGTGAATTATCTATAGTATTCGTAATAGTTAATATTTGGGGTATCAAAAAGTTAATCAGCGATAACTTCGTTCAAACACATACAATTAAAATTTTGACCACGGATTCTTGTTCCTCTTGAAAAATCATATCTAAATATGTCTTGATGCATATTTTCAATGTCAAAATCTCATTCTCAGAGCTCTCAATCACAGAAAGTTAACTTTTAGGTTTTTTAAAAAAGCTGGACAAAATAGAATATCTACGAAAAACGATAATAATTTCCTACAAACGTAAATTTTGATGACGAGTTCTTGTTTTTCTTAAAAAAAAATATCGATTTGAAAAGATTTGAAACCGCTTTGGAGCTACAGCTCTTCATGTTTACATATACTGACACCAATATAAAGTTATTTTTCGTAACTTAGTGCCGTGATTATTATTCAATAATTCTTCAAAAATAAGCTTAAGACTACAGCCAATGAATATTAATTTATGTATTTAGTTCATTTCAAACAAGACTGAAAAAATGTTCACGATAAGGGAGTACCCTGCTTTATACTACTCCACTTTGCCCAAAAGAAATATTTTCATACGTTTGATGTTAAAATCAGTAGAGTTGACGAAAATTGAAATTTAATAAATATTTAGGCAAGCTTACAAGGAGTATTAAAAGAGGATATGGTTAGATTTTATCGATACTTACCTTTACACTATTCAAACTGTTAGTGAAAAAAACGATAATGTTGTAATTGTTATAGTCAAAACAACGACAGACTTTTTGCGACCTGTAATATCGACTGAGTGTCTAGGCAGATAACCGAGATTACATTCTTAAAAGGTACTCATACAAGGGCTGTTGGTCTAGTGACGTGAAAGTATTTTAAAAAAGAAAATCATTAGGGTACCCCGCTTTGCCCGGGTATCCTCTAACTTGATTTATATAATTTTAATTTACATTATTGCCATATTTTCTTCAATTGTATTTCTTTTTTTAATTTTTCTAAAACCATTTTTGAAATAAATAAATTAGGTATTGAGTGGTTAAATAATTAGAGGTTGTACTATTAATCTCTTTATAAATATTTCACTCTATTTCACGCTCTAGGTTTAATATTTGTTTGTATGTATCCTAGTTTTGGTTGCTATATAGAGCGAACTACTTTTTGTATTATTTTTTAATTCCGAAAAATAATGTATAATTATTGAAGAATGATCTGAAGTTAATTCTAGATATTATTTGACTAATTAGCCTTTTAGAGTATAATCGTTTGACGACTATAATGTCAATTAAGACAATTAATGTTAATTACTGAGTATAGATTAGCTTATTTTGAATTTTGATTTATATTCAATATACAAACAATAAGAAAATAATTTTTTGTGTTGTCAAGTTTTTGTAAAGAAATATGCAGAAAAGATTGTCTGGCCACTAAAATATTCTCAGAAACATGAGCCAAGGACTATCTTAAAGATGTAAAGAAAATGAATAATGATTAAGCTACGTGAACATTTGAGTTTTGTTATTAAACATTGACATGTTCATTTTATTTATATTACCAAATATTCTGAAGTATTTGTTTAAGTGAGTTATGTTTGTGTTAGTATGAGCAAATCAATTAATTTTTTTAAGATTCTGTCTCTCTTGGAAATATAAAATTTTTGTAAACGTCTAAGAATATTTCAATTAAACACAGGATTATAATTGTAAATTTTTTTCCTTCGAGTATTTATATCTTATTCAATTGGCATGGTCGTTTCAACTATCATTCGTACAAGAATTATGTTTAATCAAAGTAGCTCATCAGTTATAAGAATAATATATAAAAAACGTCATTTAAGTATTTTAATCATGCCCCAATTTTGCCTATCTCTACGAATTAAATTATCCAAGAAATAAGTATTCAAAAATATGATACAGGACTTAATCGTGCCTGATTTACTTATGTAAAAAATTCAATCCATGCATAAAATACACATATCCATTGCTAAACATAATGAAAATTTTTGTACACGAGATGAATACATTTTTAAGTTGTTCCGCTTATTTTTAACGATTTCAAAAATTATTTCTTAATCGGTAATTGTAAAATATATTTATTACTTTTTACATCATTTGTACTATCTTATAAATTGTTTCCAAATTTTTATAAGCTTCTAAATTTATAAATTTATTTTTAAATGGCACAGTGGTATTTTATTTCAGATATCTTACATGAGTCAAATATTTATTAAATATTAACACCACAATCTTCAGCAAAGGAAATACCTAGGTATTATCTATACGTTACAATTTATAGTAGTCAAAATAAAATCTTTCGCATGCGTAATTATTATTATTGAATACATCAATATTTTTCTTTAATAAACCTACAATTAATTTTTATTCTCCAGTGATCAATGAAATGTTAATAACGTTCACTTAGTTTGGATCATTGTTCAATAGTATTACATTTTTAAACCATGTTCAACTAGCGATATTATTATATTAAGGTCAATCTGAATTTTTTATCGTCAACCCTTTATTACTATACTAATAAAATATTTTGTTTCGAATTGTGCGTTTTCTTATTGAAAATCATTTTCCATCACGTATTTATTAAAAATATAACTTCATTATTATTGTTTCTTTTAATTGTTTTATTCAATAAGTCATAAAATAAACATAAACTTACAGGTGTTTGATTTCCGTTGATTTCCCACGCCTGTTCTGGGTAATTCATATCCTACGTTTATTAAAATACTTTTCTTTTATATTATTTAAAAAAATCTAATATCTAAAATAGCTACACACATAATTGATCATAATTTAACTATTTTATCACAATAACCCAGTAAGATCAACTCTCTTTGAAGTTTTATCAATAAATGTGGAGACTTAGCTACCATGATAATAATCCGGGATGGGTGGAGCCTTAGGAAAACGTTTTTTTGTCAGCGGACACGCCCCTTTGCTGAGGAGTGTCAACCGGCTAGTCTGTTCCCCATTTATCATTCCTTATTTGACTTCAAATACTACGTACTTTCAATATTTCTATGATATATTGTCAGTACACACTAGTTCAATTAATTTTAGATGATTTTTTCAGTAATACTGATTGTATTTTTTAATCTGATATGTGTACAAAGGAAACATGATTTTTAGGAAAAATTCAATATGAATCATGTCTAGTTATATAATAATCTTGATAATAATATCTCATGTATACAATATAATAAAGCCTACTACTGTTTTTCTAATAAAATATTTTTTAGTCCTACTGAATCACTACGTCAATAATTACATAAAAAGGCATGTATCTATTTTACATCATTAATTACACGATTTTCTACATAATATCCTGTAACTAAATTACTGAGTATGAAAATATATAGATTGTGTACACTGAGAAAAATATTCAGTCAAAACAACGGCCCCGGGCAGTTAAATACAGTCATCGACGTCGCGCCGTTGAACGAACGTATAATCCATCGAAACAACTGACTTTCTGTTGAAACAAGAGTTTAGCTTTTGAAATAACTGATATTGTAGTTGGCTTAAAATTTTCATGGTTTTTTAAATGATTGAAGGTTAGTGCATTGATTGAACATGAAAATCAATCACAGCAATAAATTTTGATATTCAAACAACGGATTTTATGATAGATTTAAAGTACTTAATTACTATGAAGTAATTGAAGGTAAGTCCACGAATTGAATAGGAAAAATCAATCACAACAATCGAATTTTATATTCAATCAACTAAATATCGGTTGAATTAATGAGCACTCACATTAACTTATCAAATTTATTTCCAATCAAACAACCGATATAATTATTATTGAATAAATAAACTATTTTGTCCAATTAACATTCGCTTCGTTGAAAGAAACGAATATTTCTTTGTAAAGAAAGATTATTTTATTAAAACAACCCATAAAACTTTTGATGAACTTGAAGTATTTTATAATTCGATAATGCATTCTCAGCAACTTTAACATTTTGCTTGTTATCATCGCTTAATTTGTCGGCTTAGTAGAAGAAGCGTGTAATTATTTCTCTTTAAAGCTACCTAACTAATATTATGCGCACAAAACTTCGGATGCATCAATTTTTAAATAAATAGCTGAAAAAAGCGAAAAAAAAATCGTGGTTCTGTAACGGCCAGCAATGTGCGGCGACCGGCGACGGCGGCCGGCGCTGCCAGCACATGCGGCGCGGAGTTACTTTAGATTTCACGTAAACAGCAGACCGGCGAGCTGACGATCATGGCGACCAGAGTATCGGATGTATTACAAGTGATAGGATACAATGAATTAGTTGAAAATTTTGAAGGTAAATAATAGTTTTTCTTGTTGACATTTGAATAAACTTTATTAGACAGATAATTTTATTTGTCTTGAATCCTCTTAAGGCGAGAGAGCGAGCGAAAAAGTGGAGGATATAGCAGTTCTATTGTCTGACGCTGAACGTATAACACGCTTGGTTCCAGAAGGCCAGCAAGATGATTTTACCCAAAAAGTGAATCAATTTTTTGCAGATATAGTACATGCAAGTATAGTGATATATATATATTATAACCACGTGCTACTGAAATATGTTTTAAAAATCGCAAGTCACGACATAACCTCAAAATCGCGATGTGTCTCGATCGAGCATTTTCATGTACTTGTATGCTTTCGTTCAAGGAAATTGAATTCTTCCATCTATCATAAAATTAGCTACATCTCAAATGTATGTTTCTTGTTCGATAGAATAAATAAAGTGTTTAAAACAATTTTGAATTTGCTTTTTTATCAACGTAAATCCACTCTTATATGAAATTTATGTAAATTTTATATCTTTATGATTCATTTGAAAAACAATAAAAGAAAAAAAAATGAATCTAATTAGTTTTTCGAAAAATACAAGGTTTTCAACCTTGGCTGCTAGAGGGCTCAATGAATTCTTTACTCGCAAGCGGCTGAAAAATCGATCGTTGAATATATAAGCCCGCTTGAAAACTCATATAATATTGCGTGCGAACTCTCGTGCCGAATTTCGATACTGCGATTGCGTTGCGTTATAACTGCGAGCGAAATTAAGCACTTCCCTATTTAGCATAAGTTCTCTTGTATGACAAAATTGCGTGAAAAGTGTAAAATGTACTTTGACTGCTCCATTCAATCTCGAAAACAATTCTTTGAAACAAATGTCCCGCTCTGTAAAACTAACCATTTCTTTCCAATCAAATTAACTGACTCTGGTCCGTCAAATTGGAGGAAAAGACTATTGGCCGTATTTATCTGCCCGGGGCCGTTGTTTTGATTGAATATTTTTCTCAGTGTAACTTATCACGTATACTATCACGTGATATGACAAAGATAAGAGACTCATAAATAGATAAAAGAACTCAGTAGAAAATCGATGAAAATCGATCTGGAAATATTATAGAAAAACTGCGCGTGTTTAATAAGGATATAAAAACTCATTAATAATTTCCTGCAATTTAGTTTTTATTAATCAAAAAATTCTAAAAGTTGAATAACATATAATTAATGATAGAATTAAGCGTCAATAAGAATCTTGACGTAAATACCGCTATCGACAAATTCAAAGAAATAATTCTGTACGTACACTGACAAAAAAATGTAGGCAAAACAATGTACCTGGAACGATAAATACGTTCAACCCACCCAGGAGTGTTAAATTGACTGAAAACTGTATCGAAACAATTGCTTGCTTATTGAAACAAGAGAGCGTTCGCTGAAATAATAAATATTTTAGTTAATTTATTATTTTTACGAATGTTGAAGTAAGAAATGGGAAGTTCATTGGGTGAACGAAAAAAATTATTGCAATAACAGGTTTTTCTATTGAAACAACAATGTTATAGTTGGAATAATAAGTATTCTAGATTAATTTATCAAATGTCAATGTCGAAATAATTAATACAACCGTAATTGATTTAATATAATACTATTTCTTCAAATTAATAATAAATTTGTTGAAATAACATTTTTACGAATGTTGAAGTAAGAAAGTTCATTGGGTGAACGAAAAAAATTATTGCAATAACAGGTTTTTCTATTGAAACAACAATGTTATTGTTGGAATAATAAGTATTCTAGATTAATTTATCAAATGTCAATGTCGAAATAATTAATACAACCGTAATTGATTTAATATAATACTATTTCTTCAAATTAATAATAAATTTGTTGAAATAACATTTTTACGAATGTTGAAGTAAGAAATCGGAAGTTCATTGGGTGAACGAAAAAAATTATTGCAATAACAGGTTTTTCTATTGAAACAACAATGTTATTGTTGGAATAATAAGTATTCTTGATTAATTTATCAAATGTTAATGTCGAGATAATTAATACAACCGTAATTGATTTAATATACGACTATTTCTTCAAATTAATAATAAATTTGTTGAAATAACAAATTAATACGTCATTGTAACAGAATTTTTTATTGAAGCAACGCATGAAACAGAGGCAACTGTTCAAAAATTTCTCTAACGGGCTTTTGTTTTGATTCCACGAAAAGTGCGAGTGTCGGTTAGCAGGAATCATGGTGACTCAGCCTTCCACTGCACTATCCGATGTGCTAAAAAATCTAGGATACATCGAGCTGTTGAATACACTTGAAGGTAACTACCTAATTGCTTTTTATAAGCGTACACACGTGTTGCTTCTACACTAATTCGTCTCTTTTTATTTTCTCAAGGTAAAGATTTTGAAAACGTTGAAGAATTTCTGAAAGATTCTAATCGCTTGAAAAAATTAATACCAGCTGATTTATTTGATCAATTCGTAAAAAAAGTGAGCGAATTTTTTGGCGAATTCGATTCAGATGTACGTATATTTGCATTATATTCTATTAGACTATTGAAATAAATGGTATATACCGAAATGTATACTGATTCAAAAAATAACTTCAAAACCATAACCTTTTTTGATATGCTATAAAATTGAACCCGGCGATAGCGTTATTAATAATAGTTTTATTTTAGGCAATAGACGAAGGTAATGCGAGTTCTACATTCGAAAACGATTCTGGTGCAGAGGAGAATGAAAATACCGAGGGAAATACAGATGGTAATAATCATATTCAGCCGAAGCGCCCAAGATTACAGAAGAATGTTGACAGTAGTAATAAAGATACAAATTTTTCCATAGAAAATATTGACATAACAAAATTGTTAGAAAGTAGTTTTCAAGGTAGACAAATCTTGAAATGGCATGAAAACTTTTTGAATACTGGGCAAAGAAAAAGGCTTGTTAATTGTATCATTAGTGGAGTATAGAACAAATGCAAAATTAATGCTACGTTAATCAAGTAGTACAGTAAAGTAGAGTATTGTCATTTATTAAAATATATTTATTTTAGAAAATTATATGGGAGTGACTTTAAAATACTGAGTCAAAAAGTAATGCAGGTGTTTCCAAAGGAGTGCGAGTTGGTTTATTATTTACCTGGTGTACCTAAAAATAAATCAAAAACAGGCAAGAAGAAGCCGCATAAGGGCAAGTTGTTGAACAGGTACCAAAATATGAGAAAACTGTTGCTATTTGAAGAATCAAATAAAAACATTGAACCTTTGGATGGATATTCCGATGTTGAACTTACTGAAGAAATAGAAGCAAGTATTGAATGGTTAAGTAACAATGAGGAACCTTGGGACGAGGCTCAGCGACACTGGGTCGTAACAGCTGCTTACAGGCGTTCGCAAATAGAGAATGAATTAAAAAACAAAATATCCAGTATTTACCTAGAATGGCCAATACTGAAAACTCCCAAAGGATATCTTTTGATAAAAGAGGAATATTCAATCTGTAAATTCAGCAAGGATCCAAGTG